CAATGAAATGAGAGGTGACTGGATAGTGTGGCAATAAAATGAGGGGTGACTGGATAGTGTGACAATGAAATGAGAGGTGACTGGATAGTGTGACAATAAAATGAGAGTGACCGAATAGTGTGACAATTAAATCAGGGTGACTGGATAGTGGAAAACTGAATAAGTGTTGACTGGATAGTGTGACAATAAAATGAGGGGTGACTGGATAGTGTGACAATAAAATGAGAAGTGACTGGATAGTGTGGTAATAAAATGAGAGTGACCGAATAGTGTGACAATTAAATCAGGGTGACTGGATAGTGGAAAACTGAATAAGTGTTGACTGGATAGTGGGACAATGAAATGAGAGGTGACTGGATAGTGTGACAATAAAATGAGAGTGACCGAATAGTGTGACAATTAAATCAGGGTGACTGGATAGTGTGTAACAATGAAATGAGAGGTGACTGGATAGTGTGGCAATGAAATGAGGGGTGACTGGATAGTGTGACAAATGAATTAGGAGTGACCGAATAGTGTGACAATTAAATCAGGGTGACTGGATAGTGAAAAACTGAATTAAGGGTGATTGGATAGTGGAGGACCGAATTAGGGGTGATTGAATAGTTCGATAACTGAATTAGAGGTGACTGGATATCGGAAAACTGAATTAGAGGTAAGTGGATAGTGAAAAACTGAATTAGAGGTAAGTGGATAGTGGAAAACTGAATTAGGGTTGACTGGATAGTGTGAGAACTTAATTAGGGGTGACTGAATAGTTTGAGAGGTTAATTAGGGGTGACTGGATATTGGAGAACTGAATTAGAAGTGACTGGATAGTTTGAAAACTGAATTAAGGGTTAATTGATAGTCGGGAACTGAATAAGAGGCGACTGGATAGTGTGATAACCATATTAGCGGTGGCTTACAGTGTAAGTGGCGACACTAGATAAATGGTGACTTGATATAGCGTGACAACTTTGTTAGTTACTGTTGGTTAGTAGGAACTGGACATGTGTTGGCCAGCATTCGGGGCAACTAGGTTAGTTGTTGTGACTGAAAAGTGAAAAGGAAAAAAGTAGGTGGTGAATTGAAAATGAAACCGGGTTAGTAGTAGCTTGATTAATGGTGTACGTCTGTCCACGGGCACGTGTTAATCAGCTTACCGAGCGATGTTAGCTGGATGGCGCATAGCAGACCAATCTCTAGATGTGAGAGATTAAACCTGTCCATCAACTCATACAGATTGTTCATCAGATCCACCATCCGGGCGTCCACCAACGTATTTAGAGCGGCCTGATTCAAAACGAGGTCGTTGTCTTCCATGTAAAAGTACTCGTCACTGGATCTGAACTCGGACGTCGTAAGCTATCAATATATACAGATATACAATATTATGGTTACTTGGCCAATTGCATGAAGTTCTTTCCCATAAAAAAAATAAAATTTGTTTTACTGAATAACAGCAAACTGAACATTTAAGACAGAGGAAACAAATACCAGAACATCAACACATACGGATAAAATCCTAACCTCAACGCCGTTACATAAACACAACCACATGAACTGATGTGAGGATTGCTTATAGGATGCTATGTGATATTCATAGCCAAGGCCACGTGAGTGAGTGAGTGAGTGTGAGTGAGTGAGTGAGTGAGTGAGCTAGCGAACGCTAGTAAGTGTTATATTAGATTTGAACTTTTATGAAATCTGTATTTAATTTTCTTTTTAAAACTTTACAAAACAATTAATCAAGTATTGAAATGCATTCACGTGTAATTTTGTGTGTGATATAAATGCCAATTAATTAAACAATAATTTATCAACAGCAATGTTAAATGATGAGAACAGACCTTTACAACATAAACAAACTAGGTTGGTATTATATAAAATACTACCACAATTTACGCGTTATTGGTGATGCAAATGTTAAAAAGTTCGGGAAATCCTTACGCTTATGAGTGTGACCTTGACGGCTTTGAATGTGGAGATGTTACAAGGAAAAATTTTGCACTAAGGCATTGAATATTTACATATGTGTACACGATTTTTTAAAATAAAGGTGATCATAATTTTAAGTTAACCTTCTAAAGCTTTTTTTCATAAAAAGACAAACTTCAAAGTGTATTGTTGTTGATATACGTGTAGATTGCACGCATGATATAATATGAAATAATATATTTAAATAATATGTGTTCCATTTAAATGCAAAACCGTTGAAAGGAGAAATGCATACATTATCAGTTTTGTGCTATACATCTTACTATAATGCTTGTCTTGAACATTTTATATCAATAAGACCCAGATCATAAAACATAAAATGTTGAATAAATAAGCATGTTACAGCTGATATATAAAAAAAAAAAAACCAATAGACATGGAAAATGTTTGCTGTCAGCCAGCAGTAACGCTATCTGAGAATGATGTGGGGCGTATGTACCTTTAGTACATACCAGATGTATCTCGATGAACGCCCTCTTCAGCAGCAGCATCTGATCGTTCGCACACAATTTGGAAAATTCAGGGATTTCAATGGCAAATCCTGGGAAAAAGATGTAAAACACAAATGATGTGCCTCACATGAATGAAATTAAATCATATCAATGTCCAAAGAATTCCAAAGACAATCTATGTATCCTACTTATCATTACAGACTTGTGATCCAGGTAAACACTGGCTTCGGTTTTAAATAACATCTTAACTAGGATGGTTTGCTTTTACGTGAAAATCCCTATCGGGAAAAACACATTACTTACTATGATTAGGAAAATCTTATGTTAAGATTTTTGTAAGACCAGAGCCTGACATTCTACCATTGAACTTGGTGCTAACACCTATATGTAAACACCTATATATGATAGATATATAGTTTTCTCAATAGACTATTTTCCACCCTAATTATAGTCATACGATAGTGCGCATACGTCACTTATTTATATTATTAACCCACGTGTTATTACATAATTTCTTTCGATTTTTTTAAAATACAAAACAAAAAGAAACTCTAATGGGAATGGGTTTTTTCTAACAGCGTCCGACATTTGTTAAGTGGTCTCCAACCTTCCTTTAAGAACAACATTATAAAGTGACATGGCATGGTGTCCTGGTTAGGAACTCTCAGTAAGATAGTTCTGTAAGTAGCCGTTGAATGGTCCCATCATTCGTGGGATAACCTAAGAAAGTAGAAGGGACTGAAGATACCTCGTCAGCCATATATATCGGACACCAATTCGGTCTCCGTACACTGAATTAAGTGAGACAGAAAAAAATATCCAGCTCTGTCATAACAGTTAAAATTTGAAAGAAATATAATGAAAGTGTTTATTCAGCTGAGAAAAGCCTTGACATTCACAAAGGGTGGAGTTACATAACATGCACAGAGCGCATTAGATTTTTTTTCAAGGCTTACTGCGAAGGAGTGTCACAAGATCGGGACAAAGAAAATGAAGTTTTATCAGCAGACAACAAATAGTATGTACATATACTACAGGGAATTAACTAACCGGTGTGGATACGAGCACTTCGCCCCGACAAGCCAGCGTACGCATGCTGTGCTTTTATATCTTTTGTTTTATTAATGATATTTTCACGTCAATGTACGCATGGGGCATTATTTACAGTCTCCCTTCTTCGGCTTAGTAAACTCTGCAAATGGCTCGGCGGCTTGATACTTGTTTCAAATATGGTGCCGTCAGCTTCAGCTAGACAACAGTCCGATGACAAACATTACTTTGTTCCTTCAACATCTAGATTCATAGAACACATCGGGAGCTATTATGTCTAATTATACAACAAAGGGATGTTTGCAAACTTCTTATTCCATGGATGCACAATCAAATTTCTTTGACGACAACGTGAATAAAAAGCGGCTTCGTTCTGAAACATTTGACGCATCACTCCATGAGCAGTGTGTCAATGCGCGTACATGACGACCGTTATAAAGATATATAAATGTTCGAAGGGTTATACACACCAGTTCTGGTGTATTTTGGTCCTTCATCACACCCCAATGAAGCCCTAACAATTCAAAGACATCAAAATTAAGGTAGTCAAAAAAATAACCCCAGAAATTCCCAAAAAAAATAGATACTTTTCCAATGCTAACAATGTAATGCAATAATGAATTTTCGCGTGTGTAGTTCATTTCGTAGATTTATGTAAGGGGCATACGTATGTAACAAATGGCACGCTCGTCCATATGCATGTAGGATTATACACATGAACCGCTGAACATGTTTTTATAAAATTGCAAAAAGTAGAATGTTGAAACAAATGTTGGATATCAAATTCTAGAAACAAATATGAACGATTTGACTTGTGTGAAATTTAACACATCAATTGTAACAAGCATTACTTTTTCATTCCAGATGCCTGCCTTAATGTTTGTTTTAATCGTTAAAGTCAACTTCCAGTTGAGTAACCACAGTATACCTTAAAACACTGTAATACACTAGCCCCCAAATGGAGTTAGATATGTCAATAAACGCCCCCTTATTCCATTGAAGAGAGTATATGTATTAAGGTCAATTTAGAGATTATCAGTACGAGTCAGAACAACCCACCAGTCGCATTTTCACCCTGATACAGCCTAACTATCTATACCCGTCGACACCTACACCAGAAAAGCACCACCCGTAATACATCATAGTGGCATTTTCTGCTGACTTGTTCCCGTATAACTCTTCGTGTTGGTAACAGCGGCGAATTTGTGTTGTTTCGAACACTATAATGATGAACTGAGACAGGAAAAGTTGTCAGAATCTTGATAATGGAGACCTTTTCGAATGAGGTCACTGTTCCGTAGGTTGTCGATACGGTCCAAGAACAGAAAAGAACGCGATTTTTATCTTTACATTTCACAGGGATAATTTGTATTATACAGTCATTGATGACCTCACCGATAATTATGAAACTGGCGACAACCTCTCGTCCGACTATTCAGTAATACCTTTAACATGTCTCTGTATGTAAGATTACACTGTTACTAGAAACAATCTATTTGTCAAAGGTAACAAGACTGTCTCACACGAATGTCTCACAAGACTTACAGGATGTAGATAAAATCATCTGCCTAGCTTAAGCTTGCCTAGTAAAGTGGGGAAGGTATAGACAAGAACACCAACTGAAGAGATGTATTATGGGGGGTTTCGGTGTACATTTTGTTTGTAATTTAGTGCTCGGAGATCCATAAAATATTAAAGTAATGCGGGTTGTTCAGTGAGCGGTGTTCGGCTCCCCCTCGCAATGATAAAACCGTTCTTCACTGGAGTAAAAACGCGTTATTGACGCATTATTTCTTTCTTACTTTAGGCTGATATAAGTTTAATGTTATAATTTTCCTCTTGGGTACTCATCTGGAAGTTAAATCATGACGCCAGAGGGTGAGGGATAGGTGGTCGGAGCAAGCACTCTAGTAAAAAAGTATATATTCATACAGAGTTACATTCCGATTCATATTAGAGCTTATCTTAAAACGTGCCGTATCGCAGGTTTAGTCCTGCATGCGTATCAGCAAGCGTATCATTTGTAAAGTACGAAAATGCCTCATATAAACATACTTCTTGCTTTCATACTCAAACGAAATATACTTCTGCTGGTAGTGTTATATAGTGGCAATGCAGAGCAAATGTAAATATAACTGAATGTTTCCGAAGTTTCGAACCACGCGTAGAATGCTTCCTAGGTTTGTTAGAGAAACCGAGGAGTGATCTGGATGACCAGTTACAGTTAAATGACCGTGGATATCCATTAGGTTCCTCATTGATATGTAAATGACATAGAATACGGAAGGCCGTGAAGACTTAGTCTTTGTCGCTTAAAGCTCCAGGGGCCTGCAAAACCCTGTTCAAAACAAGCGTAAATCGTAATTTGACTTATCGCAAGGGTCAATTGACTTATCGTTGGCGTTAGATTGGGGCTTCGCGGGCGTACGTTGGCTTATCGGGATGGTACCTTAGCGTATTGCGGGCGTACCTTGGCGTAACGGGGGCGTACCTTGGCGTAACGGGGGCGTACCTTGGCGTATCGGGGAGTACGTTGGCGTATCGGAGAGTACGTTGGCGTATCGGGGAGTACGTTGGCGTATCGCAAGTGTACTAAATATATATCACCACTATACACTATATATCATACGTGTATACGTATCACCAATACTTTTGTATCTTTAACATACGTCACATGATATATTTGTTAATAAATGCATCTTTAACATACGTTACATGATGTCTTTGTTAATACACGAGTGTTGGTCTCACCTGTGATTCTTTCATTTTCCGTTTTGATTTCACTTAACAATTTCGACATGAGGTACCCAATTCCTTCTTTTGATCTTCTAGCAATCTTCACACGTTTCTTATTGGAAAGATAAGAGCATACAAAGGTCAATCAGTTTGAAACAATGCCAGGCTGAAATTTTCTTAAAAGAAGTATTTCTTGAATACGATTTTCATAGCCGAACAATTTATCATATAATTTCGATAAGTCTTAACAATTACCTACAAAATGACGTCAGGTTGAACAGTAATATTATAAAATTACGATATTATCCATAAAACAAACCATTAATAAAATAAAACGGAGTCAAAAAAATGAGTTACGTAAGGTCAGCAAGTAGATACCAAATTTTATCAAGTTATGTATTTTTTTATTTTATTTTTTATTTTTTATTTTTGCACTCACAGCATCATCAATAACAATACCGTGAAAGTGTGTGTTTTCATTATTATTTGTTTATGATTGCTATTGCCAAGTAAATATAAATACCATTATGAATATATATTTTCCAAACAATCTTTCTTTTGTTTTTATTTTTATTTTATTTTTTTGTAGCGTTATTCTATAAATAATATATCTCATATTATGCATTACGAGAACATGATATATTTTGGCATTCCTTTTCTTTATACTTGATTATGTTTTCCAATACATATATTGATAATAATGTGAAGTATGTTTTAAATAACATAGGTTATTAATGTAATGATATAAAAATATAAAACAAATAAAGAAATAAAAAATAAAATAAAAAAAGTTTTGATATGTTTCATTTAAATAATATATCCAATATTTGAATGCAACATAATAATTTCTTATATAAAGAGATCGAAATAAAAGATAACAAAAAAAAATATACCATTATATTTAGTATTTAGATAGATTATAAAAAGTTATACATTTACAAATAATAATTGGGAAAAAAGGCACTGTGTTGGTCATTGTAATGAGCTGTCATGATTAAAATGTTCATCATAATGCTTGTTGTCTTTTTTATTTATCTATTCATAATTTCAAGTACATGTTACATTTACTTGCATGTTGTTCTACATTATACAATTATGGTCTTCAGGTGAGGTCTATCCCTGATTTACGGACCTGGTCTGAACAATATTCACAGAGGCCGAAGGCCGAGGTAAACATATTGTTCAGACCAGGTCCGTAAATCAGGGATAGACCGAAACTGAAGTCCACAATTGTTTTATTATATGACATTTTACAATAAGATTAATAATTTTTCATGTCATAAACACATGGATGACACGGACCATTTTGGAATCACAGAGTGAAGGACTTCAAATACAAAATAACATACACAAAAATTGAATTTCAGATTCAATTCATGTGATATTTAATTTCAAGTAAATATTATTTGAACAATTATTTGAACTGTAGTTGAATTCAGTAGTGTGAGTGGTAACAGATTTAAAGACTGTCTGGGAAATTACCTCGGACTATTTTTTGTAGCGGTCTTTAACACTTTTCTATATATAGGTCGAGGTCTGTAACACTTTTCTATTTATAGAACGAGGTCTGTAACATATTTACAGACTCGTCACGTGACGTCGCTCCTCCAATCAGGGCTGGGAATTAGCATCAGTCATATAATAAATATTTTTATTCATTGTATTATTCATTCATTCACTCATTACTTTGTCCATTTGTTCATCTTCATCTTTCATTCCATTCATCTATAAATCTATTCATTCACATATCCAACTATTCATTCATTTATACCATATACATTATATATAAGTTCATATTTTTTCCATGAAATACTTGATTGTACTTTTCCTATTATTCTAATATTTTGTATGTAACATTTTTAATTCATACTTAAATTGGGATAACAAATTAATTCCTTTCTGTTTCTGTTCGCTAATATGATATACTTTATAAATGGTGTATCCAATTATAGTAAGTAAAATATTGACCTCTGTGTAACTTTTGCAGTTAATTTTGTAACCAACTGCAATGTATTTTAGATTTTGCATATTTACTGTACATCCAACACCTTTAAATAGTTTTTTTATTCGTGCCCAATATATACTCAAATAGTCACATTCAATAAAGTAATGTCTATAATCCTCTGTGACATTACAAATGTTACATAAATTATTATCCTCGATTTTCCACTGATTTAGCAGTACTTTATTTGGTAATATGTTTTGAAAGAGTTTCCATCTATGCACTTTATGACGGTCATCTTTCAGATTATAAAATATAAATTGAGGCAAATCATTAAAAAGTTGTGATCCTTCTATGATCAGTACTCTCTTCCATTTTTCAATGGAGTGAGTTTTTATACACTTTTTTGCTATACATGCATTGTACAAAAATGTGTTATTAAAAGTTTCTATCTCTTTATTCTGTTTTCCATCATATATTAGAAACCCTTTGCTACATTTTACTTGTGTGCATCTTGATTCATTTGTTCTTAATAAATCTAACCACGTTTTTGGTATTGCAATTTTTAAAGTGTTTATTTCACTTATCCAATTTCTAGTATCTTGTAATCTTTTTAATATGTTTTGTTCGTCTATTTTCCCGTGTCTATTAATAATATCATCGATTGTTATTATGTTACTATCAGCCCAGTGTTTGTAAACAAGTGATGTTCCTTTGAATTTTATATTGCTGTTGCCCCAGATAAATTCCTTTCTTACATCATAAAATGTTTTACAATTTCGTTTCAATCCCCCTCCTAGCCGTATCCACGACATATCAATGTAAAAATCAGATATATCAGTTTTCCCAAGATTTGTTATTTTACCGATGTTCATTTTTCGATATCTATCAAACATTTCTTTTGGTAATGATTTCCAATTTGCTTCACTGCCATCAATTAATCTTTTCACCCACCCCACTCTAAACATATCTATATGTGACTGAATATCTCTTATTTTCAGCCCGCCCTGTTCATACGTTCCTATCATCGTTTTTCTCTTCACCTCCTCACTACCTTCCCATATAAACCCTAAGACCTTTTGCTCTAATTCAATTATTTGACTCTTTGATATTACTTGCACATTTGCTAAATATGTTATTTTTGGAATTAAAAGAGATTTTACTATAACCGATTTTCCGATGAAAGTGAGTTATGTAGTTTAATAATGTATTGAATAAGCTACACAAGATTTAGGTATCATTAAGAAATCAACTCGAACCAACTAGCAATTTGGTACATAAGGAGGTCGAGTCGAAGGTCAAACAGGGTCAAAAGTCCAAACAACAATACGTTTATAAGGTTGTGAAGTCAAAATAATTAGATACACAATGTCAGTAAGTCTAAACAATGAATTAAAAAGGTATGATAACCTGGTATCACAAGGTAGAGTGTACTAGTCTACTATTACATGGATATTGTGGTAGATATGGACATATAACATTCCTCTATTTTAGTTTCTTTAGCTAAGGCATGGACTTGGTGTAGGGAAACCCGAAACTTTCAATATCCCTTTGACCCATACTTCAGGTGTAGACTATACACAATTTCACGAGGATAATACAAAACACATAACTATGGTGGTTGATATATGACATTTTGTCTTTTCGCTTTGTCGCCCGCGAAATAACGCCAAGCGAAATAACGAAATAACGAAATAACGCCAAAGCGCCAAAGCGAAAAAGACGAAATAACGCCAAAGCGTCAAAGCTAAATAACGAAATAACGCCAAAAGGAGGGAGAAAAGACGCCCTTTTATCTCTTCGCTTTGGCGTTATTTTCACTTCGGTTTGGCGTTATTTCGTTATTTAGCTTTGACGCTTTGGCGTTATTTCGTCTTTTTCGCTTTGGCGCTTTGGCGTTATTTCGTTATTTCGTTATTTCGCTTGGCGTTATTTCGCGGGCGACAAAGCGAAAAGACGAAATGTCATATATCAGCCACCATACATAACAGCTAATAGAAGGTTACATCGGTAGTACCACACGCATGCGTTAATTTGGCGTCTCAGGTAGCACAAGGTAACATTTCACGAAGGCGTTAACCCGAGAAAAATACCTTACCTTCGGGCAATAAACGACTGCTATATTTATAACAAGAATACAAAGACAGAAAGCACCCACTTAAAATAATAGTTGATGCAGACAGATAAAACAAGGTTAACATTTATTACATTGTTTGGAAATTTCTACCCTTTAGGACTCAGATATATTGCTAAAACTATGTAGAGATGCAGCAAATGTGGAAATGTTTCTATCAATCCTTTAGTGAAGTAGCAGCTTTATTACTTTTGTCTGTAACAAGTGAAAAAAAGTCTGAGCCGTCAGATGTACAACTAGTTACATGAGGGGTTACAGAGGTAAAAGGCATGACATGCCTCGTTATACAAGATTATAAGACATGTCGGGTGTCGTATGAATGCAGTACACTATCAGAGGAGTGCATACGGTATAAGACAATATATAACGAGTAGCAGAATATTATAAGACAAACCTTGCAGAATTACATAAACAATGCATGACGAGATAAATATGGTTATTAGACACTACATGCCTTGTTATTATAAGAGACATGATTATACAAGACTATTAACAAATTGCTATAAGACACGCCATGAAGAGTAACATTGATTTCAAGCACACAAAATGACGTGTAATAAAAGATTCAAAACACGACATAGCGACTAGAATGTCACAATACACGACATGACGACAAATAGAATGTCACAAGACACAACATCACAACAAATAGAATGTCACAAGACACGACATAATGACTAATAGAATGTCACAAGACACGACATAACGACTAATAGAATGTCACAAGACACGACATAACGACAAATAGAATGTCACAAGACACGACATAACGACTAACAGAATGTCACAAGACACGACATGTCTACTAAAAGAATGTCACAAGACACAACATAACAACAAATAGAATGTCACAAGACACGACATAACGACTAATAGAATGTCACAAGACACGACATAACGACAAATAGAATGTCACAAGACACGACATAACGACTAACAGAATGTCACAAGACACGACATGTCTACTAAAAGAATGTCACAAGACACAACATAACAACAAATAGAATGTCACAAGACACGACATAACGACTAATAGAATGTCACAAGACACGACATAACGACTAATAGAATGTCACAAGACACGACATAACGACTAATAGAATGTCACAAGACACGACATAACGACTAATAGAATGTCACAAGACACGACATAACGACTAATAGAATGTCACAAGACACGACATAACGACTAATAGAATGTCACAAGACACGACATAACGACTAATAGAATGTCACAAGACACGACATAACGACTAATAGAATGTCACAAGACACGACATAACGACTAATAGAATGTCACAAGACACGACATAACGACTAATAGAATGTCACAAGACACGACATAACGACAAATAGAATGTCACAAGACACGACATAACGACTAACAGAATGTCACAAGACACGACATGTCTACTAAAAGAATGTCACAAGACACAACATAACAACAAATAGAATGTCACAAGACACGACATAACGACTAATAGAATGTCACAAGACACGACATAACGACAAATAGAATGTCACAAGACACGACATAACGACTAACAGAATGTCACAAGACACGACATGTCTACTAAAAGAATGTCACAAGACACAACATAACAACAAATAGAATGTCACAAGACACGACATAACGACTAATAGAATGTCACAAGACACGACATAACGACAAATAGAATGTCACAAGACACGACATAACGACTAACAGAATGTCACAAGACACGACATGTCTACTAAAAGAATGTCACAAGACACAACATAACAACAAATAGAATGTCACAAGACACGACATAACGACTAATAGAATGTCACAAGACACGACATAACGACAAATAGAATGTCACAAGACACGACATAACGACTAACAGAATGTCACAAGACACGACATGTCTACTAAAAGAATGTCACAAGACACAACATAACAACAAATAGAATGTCACAAGACACGACATAACGACTAATAGAATGTCACAAGACACGACATAACGACAAATAGAATGTCACAAGACACGACATAACGACTAACAGAATGTCACAAGACACGACATGTCTACTAAAAGAATGTCACAAGACACAACATAACAACAAATAGAATGTCACAAGACACGACATAACGACTAATAGAATGTCACAAGACACGACATAACGACAAATAGAATGTCACAAGACACGACATAACGACTAACAGAATGTCACAAGACACGACATGTCTACTAAAAGAATGTCACAAGACACAACATAACAACAAATAGAATGTCACAAGACACGACATAACGACTAATAGAATGTCACAAGACACGACATAACGACTAATAGAATGTCACAAGACACGACATAACGACTAATAGAATGTCACAAGACACGACAAAACGACTAATAGAATGTCACATGACTCGACATAACGACAAACAGAATGTTACAAGACACGACAAAACGACTAGTAGAATGTCACAAGACACGACAAGACGACTAATGGAATGTCACAAGACACAACATAACGACAAACAGAATGTCATGAGGCACGACATGACGACAAACAGAATGTCACAAGACACGACATAACGACAAATAGAATGTCACGAGGCACGACATGAGTGGTAAGATCAAAAACTGTGATTCTTAAAAGATGGGACTGTGTCCATAATATACCAATCCACAGACTTTTATAACGATTTTGACAATACTTCAGAGTCAGTTTGACAAAAGGTTTCTGACACTGCATGCTGAACTTCATAAAGTTATAAAACACCACATACCTTGTTATATAGGGTTACACAACTTTATATGTGTAGCAACATTAAGTTATAAAACACCAAATACCTTGTTATATAGGATTACACAACTTTATATGTGTAGTAACATAAAGTTATAAAAAACCACATACCTTGTTATGTAGGATTATACAACTTTATATGTTTAGTAACATAAAGTTATAAAACACCTCATACCTTGTTATATAGGGTTATAAAACTTTATATGTGTAGTAACAGAAAGTTATAAAACACCACATACCTTGTTATATAGGGTTATACAACTTTATATGTTTAGTAACATAAAGTTATAAAACACCTCATACCTTGTTATGTAGGGTTATAAAACTTTATATGTGTAGTAACAGAAAGTTATAAAACACCACATACCTTGTTATATGGGGTTATACAACTTTATATGTGTAGTGTAAAGTTATAAAACGCCGCAAACCTTGTTATATAGGATTATACAACTGTATATGTGTAGTAACATAAAGTTATTAAACACCACAAACCTTGTTATAAAGGGTTATACAACTTTATATGTGTAGTAACATTAAGTTATAAAACACCACAAACCTTGTTATATAGGGTTATACAACTTTATATATGTAGTAGCATAAAGTTATGAAACACCACAAACCTTGTTATATAGGATTATACAACTGTAGATGTGTAGTAACATAAAGTTATAAAACACCACATACCTTGTTATATAGGGTTATACAACTTTATATATGTAGTAGCATAAAGTTATAAAACACCACAAACCTTGTTATATAGGGTTATACAACTTTATATGTTTAGTAACATAAAGTTATAAAACACCACATACCTTGTTATATAGTGTTATACAACTTTATATGTGTAGTAACATAAAGTTATTAAACACCACAAACCTTGTTATAAAGGGTTATACAACTTTATATGTGTAGTAACATTAAGTTATAAAACACCACAAACTTTGTTATATAGGGTTATACAACTTTATATGTGTAGTATAAAGTTATTAAACACCACATACCTTGTTATATAGGGTTATACAACTTTATATGAGTAGTAACATAAAGTTATAAAACACCACATACCTTGTTATATAGGGTTATACAACTTTATATGTGTAGTAACATAAAGTTATAAAACACCACAAAACTTGTTATATAGGGTTATACAACTTTAAATGTGTAGTAACATAAAGTTATAAAACACCACATACCTTGTTATATAGTGTTATACAACTTTATATGTGTAGTAACATAAAGATATAAAACACCACAAACCTTGTTATATAGGGTTATACAACTTTATATGTGTAGTAACATTAAGTAATAGGAAACTGGAGTTAAAGAAGTATAATGTTTAAAGGCACTAGTAACACCATATTTTAAAACACTTGCTATACAATGTCATAAAACATACTTTATGCTAAACAATATGAGCCTTTTTAAGTCAACACAATATCATCTGATTTTACAAGCAATCTGTATCATTTGCATTAAAAAGACGAACGTCAACAAAGATCGACCTAACATCTAGACGTAATTTGAGATATGTGATATGATGTGTCTTCAAACTTACCCCGCCATGTTGGTATTTCTTGGCGAGTCGTCGTTTTAGGAATATTGGTATGTATAGCTTATCTACGGACCTTTGGAATACCTCAAGAGTTGTCTTCATAACATCCCTTATATCGAGTTGACTGTCGGTTCCAGTCTGGTCAGTGTCATGTGATGTGTGTGACGACTTTGTTTCGTCCTGATCAGTGTCTTTATATGCACGCTCTTTGTCTATTCCAGCCTGGTAACTGTCCTCAGATTTACGCCTCGAGTGAGTACGAAGAAAATGTCTCATATCGTTTTGGGTGCCATCATCTGATTGACCCATGCTGCCATTTAAACTTCGAAAAATTGCAGACGCTAGGTTGCTCAAACGTATCTGATGTGATATTTTGAATTGTGCACTGTTTCTTGGTTTATCGTTTTGATTTCTTTGCTGAAAAATTGTTTCGCGCGTGAACCGGTCTGACGGGAGGGTTTCGTGGATCAGACTGCTGTCCTGTTGTACGAATGTCATGTCGACACTAGGACTACTTTTGGCAAACTCCCCCGAGTTACATTGCACTTCTGGCTGACTGGCATTCGGTGCTCCTCTTCCTGGTACCTCATCCCTACCGTCAAGGCCGTTTTCCACAGTAGAATATAGGGAATCTTGAAGATATACTGTCCGCACTTGAGGACTGTCAGTATGCGCTAATTCGCCGTCAACTTTGTCCGTTCCAGTCGGGCAGCCCGCTGTTATCGCGCTGACCGTCGGTGAATTATCCATTGACCAGAGATCATTCGGTTGTGTCCCAAATGAGAAGTTATTTTTAGCGCTGAAATCGTTTTCACGTCCATTTATTGGGCACTCGTTTTCCGATAAGGATGAATCCGTCAGTAAACGTACGTAGTTGTAGAGGTAGGCGCTGTTTCGACCTATTTCAGAAATTTCCGGCGTCTGTACTTCGGTTTGCAAAACTTCATTTGTTTCACATCCTTGTGTCACATCACATACACCAGCAATAGGTTCTTCTATAACTGCTCTTGATAAAACGTCTTGCATGGCGTCTCTGTCGTCGATATGTTTCTGGTTTTTTTGGGGAAAACTGTCCACAACTAAAGTGTTGCAGTTTTGGTCAGTGGATACTGGTACCTCCTCTGCCATCTTTTGATTCATCGCGTCATCGACTGAGCGATCGACATTTGTCATTACATTTGGTGGTATGTTAGTATAAGATCTAGGAAGGTATTTAGGGTGATTGAAGTTATTTTGAGAAGTTGAACCTTGAGGGGCGCTCTTCCGTGACTGGGATGTATCGTCCATCGATAGGTATCTCGCTCGAGATGTCGTTTTTATTGATGTGTTAGGATTGCTATCGGACTCCAGTCGGTTTGAATTTAATATAATCGGAGCTAAACCAGATGTTAAGCTAAACTGAGCCGAAGCAGGGGTATGATCCGTCAAAGCAGCCTGATGATCAAGAAAGGGGATACCCTGGTGATTTGATGATGTACACCCATTGATCATTGTCTGTGTATTGTTGGATTGTGCATGATGGTCATATGAAGATATCATATTGTCAACGTTTCGTAATGGCGTGGAATCATTCTTAAAACCATTGAGGGAAGTGTGCTTATCACCAAATGCTTCCTCAAAATCAGGAAACATGTTCTGTTCTGGAGAAGACTGGTGAGACCTTCCGGTCTTTTCCTGGCTATTTGTCGGAGCATTTACTTCCTTTTCCTCCCTATCTGGAATACTTGCTAACGAATTATTCTCGTCTTGGACGGTTGCCTGGCTGAAAACATTTCCAACTTCTTTCTTTTCCACACATTTCTCCTTTTTTCTTTTCTTTTTAATTGAGCAAGAAGAAGTGATTTCTTTTCTTGATATTTGAAAATCTTGAATTGCAGCCCTTTTCTCAAATTTCGGAATTCTTCCCATTTTTATCGCTAAAATGAAAATAAGATGTGTTTGATGTCCTTATGTCCTAATGATTATCACACAAGAAAAAAAGCCAATTTAAAACTTCCTTAGTCGACAGTGAAGTTGGCCTAGAATTACACTAACCCTACTGTAGCAGCAAACGAACTTTCTACAGTTTTTACAAAGATCGTCAATTCGTAAACAGACAAAAGTATGTACATGAAAACGAAAAAAACAATAACAGAAATATTTTTCTGGGAAAATACCTTCAATAGACATGCCATTCTCCTTGCATTTCTGGTAGCGGCATCCTTTACAACAGTGACGCGTATCCGGTGTGATGACACAGTTCCCGCCAAAATAGCAACCAAGTGTCTTGTCTCTGTCCATCCAACGCTTGAAGAAAGCCTAAAGTGAACACAGAATTACACTAGTCATGGTTTACGATCACTTGTAAATCAGGCAAACTTTCTCAATTTAAGAGACCGACAATGTGACAGTTGATACGTAGGAAATTAAAGGGCAAAGCCTGTATGTCATTAACTTAAAACGTGATTGCAAAACACTAATCTGTATGGGTTTTAATACAGAGTATTTTACCTTTTATAAATATATGTTTGATCATCATTGTTCATTTATTTGTTGTTGTTGTTGTTGTTGTATATATACATATAAACAAAAAAGTTATCGTATATACATTTATCACATCATAGTGGTATACATAGGTCATATCGGGTAGAAAGGTACGATGTTTTATTTAGTGACTGAGTATGAGGTAATGGTGCTACAGAATACATGGAGCCAAGGCAATCATAGAAAATAAAAGCTGTTTCTCAAATGAGTTCCCATTATGTATGATTTTCATGCATTTTATCTTACATGGCAAAGACAAGTAGTGTTGGCTCTTTTTTGAAGAAACACAGCTTACGTTGGCATATTCTATGGAATTATACAGATTATTTACTGTTAAAAGATAAAAGGGGACGGGTTGTGCAGTAGGGGTGGGGGTCAAATTCCCATCATATTTCGAGCTGTCGTGGTATAAAAAAATACAGAAAGTTACCCCTATTGACGACAGATTTCATAACAGAGCTGGAACAGTCTGTATTCAGGTAACTATTAATGATCATAGCTATAACATAGGCATCGAAAGGTTCTAGATACAAATAACCTACAACATGGAACTGTCCCGTGATTTTGTGTGCATGTGTGTGTGGATGGAGGTGGGATAAGGTTGGTTGATGGAAGGTTAGTAATGTAGATTGGTGTAGTCGAACAAAAAGTATTCATAATAAAATTCTTTAATGCAATCATACATACATTTAACCATCAAATGCATTTGTTTTAAACATACAGAAACATGAACATTACTGTTAACTTGATTAAATCAGTATCTACAGTTGGGGTCCATTCTTGTACTTAACACATTTTATTCTTACCTACTTAGCTATTATCCATTTCCATTCTAAGCAATCATAACTTAACCGACAACTACAGGTATTGCACACATTTAAGCACGGGCGACATTCTATTTATCTGTCACCCAAATTGCATTCATATCGACTGTATACTGCATCTGGTAACAGTTCAATGCTTATATTTACATTTATATGTATATAGTTTGTTTTGTATAGTAACTGAAGCAAAAATACGTTTGAATTTCCCGCTTATCATATCGTTGACGTCAGTAAGTTCAAATCCCAGAACAGCCGACATTTCCAGAAGAAATAATATAGTCCCTCGTGTCATTGAAAACCACACGCACATAAAATGGTTTGAACATAAACTTAACTTTAATATTTATTTCATATGAGTGTGTATATGTTGAAAAATTGTTAATAATTGCATAACTTCTGCTTGTTTAAAATCAAAGCTGTTTTTCGCGCATTGATAGATTACAGGTATTTTGAAGTGATGCGGCGCTGAACGGACTTGATTGTTTCCTCGGAAACGCTTATGTTTCCTCGGACTGGAATATTACGTTATTTTCAGAAGCATATATACTCGGAAATGTTTAATCAAAGTGGTCCGTTCAGTAGGTGATAACGATTCCAAGGACATTTCGTTTGAAACAGATTCCATGTCTAATCGGTCAGATTAGCATCGCTAGCAGACGACGTTCACAGGGGCTCGGGTTCGTGATTTTGAGTAATGGATGACATCACTGAAAAACCACAACACTTAAAAAGATATTTATACACATTCTAAAACCTTGTCGATACCCTCGACTTTTACAAGGTTTTAGAAATGCTGAATTTTAGTGTTGTGGTTATTCACTGATGTTATGCATAACTCAAAATCTCGAAACCGATCCCCTGTGTGATGATGTTGACAAACTTGGTAATTTCGTATCTAGAATGGGGCTTACAATAATTTTGTGGTACCTACACATCTTATAATAAATTTATTTTGTCATAATTTGTCAAGTTGCTTTATTTTTATGCTAAATGCTAGCGAACCCAGAATGTTTTCCGACTATAGGCCTATTGATACCGAAAGTATCGGGCGGCCATGTGTGTTGACCTTGTACCAGCTGTATTCCTACACTGGCCGTATCACTGTAAATTGTAGTATACAGTTTCATATACTGCAATTTGGTTTACTAACGACATATAGGCAAATGCAACACAGAATGTAAATATTCACCTTTACATTGCAAAGCTGATGGTATATATAGTCTGTCCCCATTGCCGTGAATTGCATAAAATTTTCCAAAGGAGTAGTACTATTTAAAATGAAGAGGAAGAGACCATGAACTGTGTTTCCTGTGTAAAAGGGAAAGCGATACGTATGTGAGAAACATAACTCGATATTAGTCTACTGTATACAATAACATAGTAAGACAAAGAGTAATATCGTATAAACACATTATATTAAATAATAAAATCATTAAAAAATATGAGCTTCTTCAACAATTTAGAAAAATATTTCATCCTGAAATAAAAATAAATAAAAATACCGGGACAAGGATTGATAAACAGGAAGAGGTTTTTTAGAGAATACACGACGCTCAACACTTTCTTGAGAGGCCACAAAAGGGGAAATGAAATTAACAAAGCTTCCCTGCCACTGCATCTATTCCTTCAGCTTCTGTTGGTCAAGTATAATATGTTTGCTCCTTTCACAGTATTCCAAGAACAGTCCTCAACTTTACCGAGTAAGAAAGTACAAATGTTGTTTCTTCTCCTTACATTTCAACATTTAGAGGCAATAGTTCATCAGAAGGGTTTGACGTATATCCAATTTGCATGGGACGAGCATATAGTGTTCCTCCCTGTGGTGCTCTTGTTGTAAAATAGCAATTAAGTTCATATGAAAACTGGTTGATATATTGAGACAAAAATATTTCTATCCATATTCATCAACAAATAAGCGATGTTCTTTTCCAGTTGTGTATGAAATGTTTGATTGAGACACATAATAGTTAGTCTGTTAACTATACAATGTTGACATGGAGACGGATTATTGATAACATAATGTCAAGTTTGCATATTTTACTTTAGATTCAATGAAAGTATCCGTCAAACTACTTAAAAAATCTTTGATAATCATAACTATGTGATAAAAATACATCAGTTTGACATTTACAACTTAACCCGATGACCATTTCTTATAATGTAGGTCAATTTTTCAAACAAAGGTCACACTGACCTAACTCGGTAAATCAACATTTCTAGGTTCTTATCTGAACCTAACAGCAATTCTTAAAAATGTCGGCCATTTTTTCAGGACCAGGTCACAGTGACCTAATTATGAGAAACTGCAGTTCCTAGTTCATTTCTGAACCAAATGACACTTTACAATAATGTAGGGCATTTTTTTAAAAGTAAGTCACAATGACCGAATTTGATAAATTAACAGTTCCAAGTTCATTATTGAACCTAATAACAATTTTTTTAAATGTAGGTCATTTTTAAAAGTGGGTCACATTGACCTAATTTTTGGAAACAACAGTTCTAAGTTTATTTCTGAACATAATAATATATTTTTATAATGTAGATCATTTTTGTCAAAAGTAGGTCACATTCACATAATTATGAGAAACAACAGTTTTAAGTTCGTTTCTGAACCATATGACAATTTTCAATAATGTAGGGCAATTTTTCAAAAGTAAGTCACAATAACCGAATTTGATAAATCAACTTCTAACTTGATTTTCTGAACCTTATAACATTTTTTTAATGTAGGTCACTTTTTCAAAAGTAGGCCATAGTGACTTTATTATGAGAAACAATAGTTTTCAGAACATTTCTGAACCCAATGACAATTTACAATAATGCAGGTGTTTTTTTTTCAAAAGAAAGTCACAATGACCGAATTCGATAAATAAACTTCTAACTTCATTTCTGAACCTTATAACAATATTTTATAATGTAGGTCATTTTTCAAAAGTACCTCGCAGTGACCTTATTATGGGAAACAGCAGTTCAAAGTTCATTTCTGAACACAATGTCAATTCACAATAATGTAGGGCAATTTTTCAAAGGTAAGTCACAATGACCGAATTTGATAAATCAACAGTTCTTAGTTTTATATGAACCTGAAAACATTTTTTATAATGTAGGTCATTTTTCAAAAATAGGCCATAGTGAGTTTATGACGAGAAACAACAGTTTTTAGTCCATTTCTCAAGCCAATGACTTTTTCAATAATGTAGGGCAATTTTCAAAAGTAAGTCACAATGACATTATTATTGGAAGCAACAGTTCAAAGTTTATTTCTGAACCTAATAACAATGTTTTCATAATGTAGGGTATTTGTTTTTTAAAATAGGTCAAAGTGATCTAATATTTTTAAACCAGAATTATGTGCATATTTCTGAACCCTATGACAATTACTATGTCAAACATTGAGAAGTAGGTCACCGTGACCTGATTTGGTCGGACGATGGACGCAAAGGTACGACCTGAGATCATTTAGGTACTTCGGACATTTTGAGGCTCCGTTTTCCACGGTTAATTTTCAACGGGCTACATGTGAGAAACTGATCTCTTACAGGGTCCATTTTCAACGGAAGAGTCAATTTTCAAGACTCTTTGGTTCTATTTTCAAGATTGAAAACTAACCACATTTCCATTTCCACGGGGGTCCACTTTAAACGTTACACCGCCAATAGATGATCTGATTCAGGATTACCGAATATAGGTTTACAGTACTGAGGGGCTACAGTGAATAATAACTGGAGAACATGTGTTATATTTTGCAAGTACACCCATGTGCTTAAGGAATCTGACATTACAACACATACGGTTTACAAGTAAACATTTAAACCTAAGTGAAATCGTAACTTTTCATTATTTCTGTGAAGTTTTAATGTTGTTATGTGCATAACAAATATATTGTGGTAAAATATTACAATTCCGTCCTCATTCAAACAAAATGAATATGTGTGTGGTTCATTAGACGAT